ATGTATAATACATGCATATTATAAGAATAACATATATTGCTCAGGCTGTGAAAGCTTTTCCTAAAGACCAGCTCGAAAACTTCAAGGTAAGAGCAAGTTCTCTGGAAGGAGCAGTTGTTGGAAAGGGCAAAGTTGATTTTTATGTCTACAATTTGGGCCGCTGGTCACAGTCACACTTGATTACAACCATGCCTAATACACTGCTCCTAAACATACTGATAACCTTCTTCAGATTTTCCTTGGAAGCATTTTCATTCTGCCTCTAGGCCTGGAGAAACTGAAGCCAAGCCCCTAACTGACAATCCAGACCAAAGAAAAAGCCGTGATGAAAAGTTCATGGCTCTGGTGTTGTGTTCAAAGGGATTTCTGACCGACTAGATGGTCATGTGTAAACTTTCAGCCTCAAGGACGGACCACCCAAGAACCCTGTCTTTGTAATTATACCATAGGGAAGTAAACCAGCAACAACAGACCCTTCCTAAGTGTTTCCGAAAGGTATGAAAGGTATGTGGGAATCACTGAAAACTGTTACAAACTCTTTGAGGATACAAAGGGAAGGGAAGGGGCAGGAGAAGGGGAAGGGGAAAAAGCAGGGAAATGGGGAAATGCAAAGAGAAGAGAAGGGCGGGGAAAGGACGGGAGGGGAGGGGAGGGCAGGGAAAGGTGGACCCTGTACGGATAGCGCTGCGCAAAGTCACGGCCAACGGGCAAGAAGGAAGTAAAGCTGTGCCTCTTCAAGTTCCTTCACTCACTCAGAGGTTCAGTAAACACTTCGCACATGGACCACGGGAAGTGGTGTCTCTGGAAGCTGGAAGAAAACGCACCAGCACCCAAAGGTGACCTCTTCGATTCTCTCTGGGCAGCACACACCAGCACGTACATGGTGACAAAGACGAAAAAGCACTAAAACCAATCACGTTTTAACCAACAGGCACTTTACTGTTAAAAGTTTATGTTCAAGCCAAGTCTGTGATTGACTGGGGTTCATCTGTGCCAGGATGGAAAAGGCTCCTGTTCTAAGGCTGGTGGCAGGGTCTCATTCAGCTCCAAAGCCTCTCTGGTGCACACCCACAGCACACTCGAGCTGAAATGCTAAATGGACAGCAGCGCCTCACTGCTACTCTGAGAAAGAGCTGAGGCGGGGCTGTGTGTGCTTCTGTCCCAGGACTCTGCGATGCTGGCCACAGGAAGGCGCCTGGCTCTCAAATCCTGAGTTTGTCTCAGGCCATTCGTTAACCCAGCCACCAAGGCAATTCATTTGCTTCCTTGTGCCTCAGTTTCCACTTCTATCAAATCAGGACATGAGACTCCAGAGGCCTCTCTGGTCCTAGCACTCTGTTCAGTCAGTGCCCCTGCTAGGAGTTCTACATCCGGTTTCCCTTCCATCCTGAACTCCTCTTCGCCTCTGGTGTCTACACCCCAGTTGCCATCTGCCTCTACAGCGCAGCTGAGAAATGTTGCAGGTCAGGACTCTCCTCCAAGCCTGGCACAGCCTTCCCCAGAGACCACATCCCTGCTTGTGAGGGCCGTGGGGGTGGGCCACGGGGGCCGTGCAGGGAAGACACACTCAGGGCTTTGAGCAGCTCATCAAAGCCTGCAGATTCCAGCCAGGTCCTGAGCTGCGCCCATAGCATCTGACCCACCTTGCCTTCCTCCCCCTGGGCCCGCTGACCTCACACATTACCCAGGATTAACAACCGCATGCCTGAAACCGCCAGGTGACATACAGGCCACCTGGGTCTCCTGGCACTCGGGGGGCTTGTGCTGGGCCCTTGGGCTCTGCGGTCAGGCCGAGGCCAACAGGGCTGAGATGCACCTTTCAAATACCCGCAGGGCTGCAGGTGGCCATGCAGCTACACAGCAGCCAGAAACTACGGGATTTCCTTTGTTGAAGCCTAAAATCTGCAAGATGCCCAGGGTCCCTGAACGCACCCCTCAAACATAGAATAAGGAAGGCAAAAGGCTCATGCAGGAAGACAGTAGCAGGGGCTGGCCAAGCTGGGTGAGATTTAGCCTCTCGTCTGCTGGACGACTGTGGGGACTGCCCCTCAGCTGAGCTCCAGGCTCCTCATGGAAAACAGGACTAGCAGGAGCCACCTTGGGGACACGTAGGGATGAACGGCACGCCTGCCTGTGGGAGAGAGTTGGACCCAGAGGCAGGGTCCAGCCTGGGAGTGTCTGGCGGCTTTCCTTCAGCGCAGTCCACACTAGACAGCAAAGACGAGAATCCATCCGAGGTTCGTGGAGCCTGCCGAACCTGTGCTACCTGCGCCAGGGAATTAAAGGCAGTCTCAGTCCCTCTCGGCCACTGAGATTCTACACTGGACTCAGATTGAGAGGAGAGGTTTATTTTGGCTCAAGTTTCAGCCACAGCTGTTGGCTTCCAGGCAAATGCAAGGCAGTGCACAGGAAGCCGGGGCATCAGGGAGGAGCCAGCCGGGAGATGCACCCCAGGCCACACTGCCAGGGGCCCCCTCTTTCAGCCAGGCCCCCCTACTGACAGTAAATCAGTGCAGAGCCCCACTGTGTAATCACCTTTAGTGCCCAGCCCAGAGCATGGCAGGCGGGGGGTCATCTGGGCACAAACAGTGACCAGGCCCTTCTGTGGGGTGATACACTGCCCAGCCCGACTCCGTGCTGCCAGGCCACCTGGTGGCTACCGCCCAGCACCCTTCCCGAGGCTCAGGAAGGCTCAGGACGGGCCAGAGCCCAGCCCAGTCACCTGCAGTCCCTCACCCTCAGGCCATGAGGTTGCCAGGGCAACAGCAGGAGCTATTCTCAGCCAAGCCCTGGGATCCAGACTCCTCCACCCACACCCCAAGGGCTCTCTCTGGTCTCATTCTGCACACCATGCTGAGACCTCTTCCTCCTGCCTCACAAGATCAGAACAGGAGGAACTGACCCTGCAGCCTGCCTTCGCATGTTCATTCCTGATCACTTTATGTCCTTAGTTACAGCACACTTCCGTTTACGGAGTGCTTTTCCCCTTATACAGATCTCCCCGTGTTCATCTCGACACTGATGAACAATTCCTCTGACCTCTTCTTGTTTGCACCCTTTAGACATCCGTGGCTGGTTTGCTTACCACAGTCCCTTTTCAGTTATTAATGGCCCACAAAAGCTCAGCAGCGGCAATCATTTACTGATTAATCGGCACAGCAATCCAGAAGGACAGGCAGTATTAATCCTTCCTTCCGTGGAGGGAGAGCAAGCTCATCCCCAGGGCTGTGCCTGTCCTGGATTTCTGGGACCCTTCCCTGGCACTGGACTGTAGCTGTGCTGACCCCTTGTAACTGTGAAGATGCACCCCAAAATGATCTTAACTGCACAGAGCTCACAGATGGTGACTGTGCCTGCCAGCAAATTTTAGAGAGGCAGAAAAATGAAAGTGGAAAGGTCTAGAGTGTAGACCAACTCTGTCACAGCCAGAAAGTGAAAGTCACTTCTCTGCATGTCCGTCATCTATACAGAGAGGCAGCCAGGCTAAGGAATACTTACAATATTTTGTGTCTAAGTAAGCCTGAGTATCTACTAAAAGAGCACAAAACAGAACACCTGGCCGCTGAGGTCAGGGTGACCTGAAGCACAGGGCTACAGGGCCAATGGCAAGGGTCATAAAGAACCCCCTGCCCCTGTTCTTGGGAAGGAGAGTCACCCTGGGGCTGCCTGCTCAGAAAGAGCCCAAAGGAGCCAAAGAACCCTGCTCGTGAAAATCCACACCCCAGTGCCAGCCACCAGCAGAAGAATCGACATCAATGCACGTGTTCATTTTAGAAATACGTCTTGCTAAATACAGGAAGAATCAAAATCACAAATGACATATTGCTATTAAACAGGATCATGTGGAAGTTGGGCACAAACACCTACAGACTCACCCACACCATGTAACGAAAACAGCCACAAATGAAACAGTGTGTACGCTGCTGCCAGGGTCTGCAAGCTCCACAGATGTGCACGGCCCCAGGAAAAAGCAAAGTCGTTAGGCTGATTGTTTATTTTTAAAATGTTCTACACAATGTAATGAATATCAGCCTTCCATTAACACATTCATTTTATCATGTGCTTCATAATTTAAATCTTTCTCAAACTCTGCTCTAGTTCCATGGAAAACAAAATCTCAGTTTCTGCTTCAGTCTCCTGAGTGATTTTTATTGTCTACCATAATATTTATTGAATTTTTTCTCCAGAGCATTTTCTTCTCTTTACTGCTTAATCCTTCCGTGTCTTTACAGATTCTGAACTCTCAGAATGCCTGTACTTCTTTTCCACCCTTAAGAGAGGAGGATTCTTTAAAAAGATCTGTCTTTTCTCTTTCTTTTTTTAATGCAGTGCTGGGGGTAGAAGCCAGAGTTGCTGGAGGCAAAGATCACACTTCTGAGCTGCCCGCCCTGACAGAACCCCAAAACCAACCCCAAAACTGCGGACTCTTCTCAAACATACAGGGCATTTCACACTGCACCTTTTTGGAGTCTTACAGCAGATGTCTGCTCTTTTCAGCGCATCTTAAGATTTCTTCCGGGACCCTTACAAATCCTCTCCCAAACCGGCCTGTGCTATAGGAGCTTCCCTCATACAAGGACTCTGATACCCTCTTCCATTCCTTAGAAATGTTCTCTTATGACTCGGTCATCTGTATCTCTTTGATCGTAATAGCTCAGAGAGATTGCAGAGCCAATGAACTAAAAATACGATTCCAGGTCTCGTGTGTGCCCATGTGTGCCCTCGTTAAAGCACACGCCGTGTGGTGAGATCGCTTTCAAAGCTTCCAGTCCCTCTGCCCCAGCGCTGCCAAGGCCAAGCACTGAAAGGATGCACAGTAAAATTAAATATCTAAAAATTCATCTTTAATTAACAGAATTGGATTAAAGCTAGACACCGCCGCATATCATACGAGAAATGGCTGCACCGGCTTCCCAGGGCTTTAATTCAATTAGGACGCAGTGAGTGGCACTCGGACGGGAAAGGTTAATTGGGGTGGCCAGAACGGAATCATTCCTTACCTAACCAGTCATTAAACTTCTTAACCTCTGAGGGCAGTCCCAGCTCGGTGAAATCGCCCGTGTGGAGGAGGATGTCCCCGTAAGGCATCTGGATAGCATCTGTTCTGGAGTGTGTGTCTGAGATGCAGACAAATCGCGTGTGGCCCGCCGGTTTTGGAGTGTCATATGGGATGGGGTCGACCCTGAAGTAGACATAACAGATCCCACAACAGTTAAACACGTCAGAACCCTGGCAATTGTCATCCCACACACATATGACTGTTAGCTGTGCACACACCCGAGCCGAATGGGGCCGAGGCAGGAGGCTCCCTTTGGTACAAGGGACACGGCGGGACGCTGGACGTGACAGCATTCCTCAGCCACAACCCCACTGGACAAATGCAACAAGTCTTACTTACCTGGTACGAAAATGAAAGGAAATTAACACTTAACATGGAGAGTCAGAAATAACCCAGGACACTGGTAAGCGTGATCAGACGAAGTTGAGGGATACTGAACCCCAACTCAGGAAGCAAAATCATGCGATTCCCTCTCCTTGTGCTTCTGCTGATCCCCGTACTCATCAGGAAATGGACAATTAATGCATCCCTCCTTAAACGTGCAGAATTTAAGCAAGGAACTCATTTCCAGAGCGCCGTCCACAGCTCTGCCAGCCAAGGCATGGACAGACAGCACCAGGCTGCCCCTCCTCTCCACCACCACCCAACACCTGCAGCTTGCTTTTCGCTAAGAGATTCGCAACCCGAATGGCCGGGAGGGAAACTGACACCAAACAGCAGAGTTCTTAAGAAAGAGAACCGGATGCTAAGAGACCTTTGCTGAGCCCATCTTTCCCACCACGAATTACCTGCACTCGTGGTCTCACGTTAGGTGGCTGGAAACGCTCTGGCACCCGGGGGACAGGTTCTACCAGGCAAACACAGAGCACTTGCTAATGCATGTGTGTAGCTCTGTGCATGTGTTAATGTATGTGTGGCTTCAGAGACCTAAGCACTGTGAAATTAGAGTGGGGCATAAGAATCAAAAGGCAAAGTGATCAACCCGAAGCAAAGAAAATGAAATAGAACATTCTCATTTAATTGACTGTAACAAAGTGTGCTAAATAAACTTGGGGAAGAAATGCAAATCTGACTCCTGGAGCATACAGTTTTAATTATTTAAGAGGTTTGTAGCAGAGTTAAGGATGCTTTAACTATATTAACTCTCCACTGACAGCTTCCTTTAATTTCTCTGTAGGAATGCACGCTTATTTTTGGATTATGGGTGAAAAGAAGCAGTTATAAATGCAAAGAGAAGGTCACAAGAGAAGCAAATATGCAATGCAAAGATTAGAGTGTAAGATGTTAAATAAAGAACCATATTTCACATCACAACCCCACCGGAGAATTAGCATGCAGCCGCCAACAACCAAATATCCATGGAAGATTCCAATTCCTATACAGGTTCTGTTTAATTTTTTTCTCCCTTCCCCTCCTTTTTTTTTTTTTTTAAGAAACAATCTGTTTTAAGACTGGCAATTTCAGTGAGAAAATAAAGATAGCGTGTAACTTGGATAGTCTGGCATTTCTTTAACAATGAATCTTTTTCCTTTATCATCGTAAGAAAGGAAGCAAAGATGGAGAAAGGAGAAAGGGGAACTAGTAGCCAGGAGAAAGCAGATGAGGGAAGGAGGAAGGAACCATGAAACAGACAGGACTGTGGGTCTGACTGGAAGCCTAAAACGAAAGTTTAACCAAACGTTATAAATGAATCCGCGGTTACTGTGAAGAAAGCTCACTGATACACCCAGGTCTCGTCAGTAACGGAGAGCCTTTCTGGCTGTATTCAGTGTCGCTTGATCAAACAGAAACATGTTTAGTGCTCCCCTCCACCTCTGAGCTGCACGGTGACCAACGGCATCCAGGTGCCCAGAGCAGATCCTCCCAGAGGAAGAGAGGCTGCTCCCCGCGGCTGACGCTGTCACCCGGGAAGTGAAGACACTCGCTGTGATAGGTTTCCCTGCAGTCACTCTTCATCCACCAACATTTGATGGGAAATTTAACAAGTCAACCACGGGGACAATGAAGCTGTGAACAAACTCAGGCTGCTCCGTGTATGTGTGTGTGTGTGTGTGTGTGTGTGTGCGCGCGCGCGTGCGTGTTTCTAGAACAGTAAAGTGCAAACCAAGCCGCCACCTTTCTTGTCCTGTAGCCCAGCTAAGTCTCAGCACAGTTATTGCACCAGAATCCCGGGGGGCCACCCCAGTTTATCAGAGGGACCCCACGGCCATCATTTCAAATACACGAAGCAGAAAGTATCAAAGATGTCAACCAGTCACCGTGAACAGGCAACCGTTCTGCCACGCTCCCCACCCCAGAGCAGCCAATCAACACACACGCAGAACTCGTCCCCAGCTCTGCTCCAGATCAGCAAGAAACCTTCTGGGACGGTGGGAAACACCGATCCTTCAATCATTTCAACCTCCTTCCCACCCTCGGAGAAAGAGACATGCACCATCCGGCAGAGTGCACAGCTCAGTAAAGCCAAGCGGCACAAAAGCACAGAGAAGGGTGGCAGGGAACCGGAAGTGCTTGTCAGCTGAGTGGAAAGGAGAGGAGGCCTCTGAAGCAGACCGCAGGGCCAGCGAAGGCGCCTGGGAGGTCAGGGGGCGGGTCCAGGGCAGGAAGAAATGAGGCCGGGCCCCTGAGCCGGCACTGACCTACTGGGTTCCAGCGAGATGGCTTCGGAAGGCAGCACAGGGCAGCGCGGGGGACAAAGCGGCACCCTGCCCTGGATCACAGCAGGGAGATGCTGCCGCCACAGACCCTTGGAGTTGAAAACCGACGGCGCAGGGAGACACCCTAGGGAAACCAGCTGTCCCCAACTGGGCACTTGATAAACAGCGCGGGAAGACTGGAGAGGGTCGGGACAAGGAAGAGCCCTGCTCAGCGGTGACCCCTCGCGCTCCCTCCGCCTCCTTCGCTCACGGTCGCTGGCCGCCGGACGCCCCCCAAGGCGCTGCTTGCCCTCAGGAGGGGACCGCAGGCCGTCCTAGTCCTGGTCTCCAGCAGCCCACTCTGGGCTCCGGCCGCGCCGCTTGCTGGACATTTCTGTCCCGGCTTCTGCTCCTCCAAGACCCCGAGCCTGGACACTGCCTGGGCTGGAGACTGAACTGAGCTCCCTCCCTTCGGGCTTCACTTCTTCTGTCCAATAGGAATATTAACGCTCACGTGGTCACGGTGGATAAGGATAAACCCTGTCCCAAACAGAGCGTGCTGGGAACAGAGTGGGGAGGGTGAGGAGCGATGTGGAGCAGACCAGCAGCTCCCGGTCCCTCCCCCAGATGAACAATGAGACAGTGAGCAGGTGCTTTAGCCCCCGTGCCTCAGTGTCCTCACTGGGAAAGTGGAGGAGAAAACAGTGCATGTCTCCTAGGACTGTTGCACAGATTTAAAAAAAGGACGATACGCTCAAAAGCATTTAAGCTTTATCCTTTATCACTACTAGCTGAGAGAATTTCTCCTGCTATTAGAAGTAATCGTAGTTGGGGATGAGTGTCAGCAGTACAGCACATGCCCAGCAGGCACAAAACCCAGGAACATGGGGGAAAGGCAGTAGTGGCAGCACAAGGGACTCTTGAGACTCAGAGGGGAGGAGGCCGCACACACAGCAGCCGGCACAGCCCGAGGGCACAGTCTAGCGTGCCGATACATTCACCTCCTTCCTATCACCTGACCTGGAGCCTCATTCTGCGCTCCGAAATAACAAGAGGAAGAATCTAGTCCCCTTTCCACGACAGCTCCTCTAGTACCTAAGAACAGAGTACAGTCCCCTGAAGTCCTGTTTACTCTAGTCCAGCATCCAGTTGCCCTGGCAGGACAGGGCATCTGGGCCCTCAGAATCCTGCACTTTCCTCCAAGACAAGATCCGTGTCTCCACTCACAGGTCAAGAATCCACAGTCAGTGCGAGTTCTTGGACCAAGGAACCACATGTCAGAGACAAAATGCTAATCCAGGTCACCACTTCCCCGGGGAGGCCCAATCATCTTAGAATTACTTTCCCATGAACTCTGAGTTTCCTGCCAAGTTACGAATCTTGCTCTTGAATCTTTATCACCCGGTGCATTTCTCTCTCGTGGCACATGCACATTAAGTACGTCATTCGCGTTTGTTCGGTCCCGACACACTGGCGACTCTCTCTGTGAAGAATATGGTAATAATATGGCTTCCACTGTGCAGCCAGTCCTGTTTGGCCATGCCTGGTGCTACTTCCGGTAACAAACTCTTCCAGAGTTGCAGAACTCATGGGCAGATCTGCAGAAAGGCTGCCATCACATGGCTCGCTGTGACTGAGATCCCTCTTTACAACACACGCTCAGTAAACTCGTGTGTGCACAATCAGCCCATGAGTCAGCGTGAGAACAGAGCGCTGCCCGTCCCACCTTCACACCCCGATGTCTGTGTTTGTGCACTACGCTGACTTCGTAAGTCTTCCAATGTGACATAAAAGCTTTCATTTTTATCCACAAAATGTGGATAGCATGAAAACTGGAATTATTTTGTGACACTACACCGCCCAACCTAAACATACTGTTTGACCAACACAAATGTAAAGACTGCAAACGCAATCCATAAAGAAGTAAAATCCTTGCTGAGATGAACAGAATCGCAGGATTCTTCCATGGGGGGAGGGGGGGCGAGGTTTCCTAAGCCTGTGCTTTCCTCCTCTGAGTATCACCTTCCCAGTCTCTGCTTTCTCACCTACACTCTTGTCTAATGCTTGGTTCTTTTAGTTTTGACCTGACCAACAGTGAAGTCCTGAATCAGACAACTTTTATCATTTTCAGCTGCATATTAAACTAAACTGTAAGTATTAAAATCTTTGTTAAGGGTTGCCTGTTCTGAAGCATCTTGTCTAATACCTATGACACATACTCCATGCTTCGGAAAACAGCAGTCAGGTTCAACAAAACTAACTTTACCAGAGGGAACTGGATCCAGAGCTGGACCTCAAGCCCCCTAACTTCCAGGTCACTTCTCTCCCCACCCATTTAACTTCAGAACCTAAATTACACCACCCTGAGAATAAAAATGATTTCAGCCATCACAAAATGCCAGCAAACCAATCCCCCAAACTCGGATAGCCTCTAATATCTAAAGGGATGACTCAAAATTGCTAGCATTCATTGTCAGAATAATCAAG